TGTTATGTTATGTACTTATGTATTGTACTGCAACGCTTGTTACAGCACATCCCTAGGCAAAGTACCATCTAATAGTTTTGGAAATTGTCAAACAAAAATTCTTCGTATTTTATGCGGTATAAGGTTTTTTTTGTCTAGAGGCTCTACCTCACAATTTTGGAGCTAATAGGGCCTTTAAAACTCCCTTTGTCTAATTACCGTAGTAGCTACGAAAATTAATAAAATTTAATGATGAATACCAGTAAAACTGTCAAACACCGCGAGGACACTGGTGACCGCAACTTATTGTTCTTTAATTGTGTCTATAATGACGGTACTCAAACCGATAAAGTATACTTTTGTATTTAAAACAGACATAAATATCCCATAACACAATATCTATTATGATATTATGACAGAATTGGTTATGTTTGGTGATATCAGTGAGTGAAACATCCCGTCATATCCATTGTTTTATTTAGTTATTATTTTATTTTAGTTAAGCGTGAATCATTTGCAACGGTATCGTGGTAAAACATAATAATTATATTTGTTACTCAACTGACTGCCTCGATGGCCGAGTGGTCGCAAGTGCAGTACCAGGCAATGGGTTTGGATTGCCGGGTCGGGTAAATGTGCCCAGTATATGGCAATAGGCTCACCCCCTATTGTGCACTTCTGCTGGTGGTGTGTGCACATTGGTGTTACTTCTGTGTGCACATCTGCCTACCCCTTTGGGGATAAAAGGCGTGATGTTATTTTATGTTGTTACTCAACATTAATACTACAGCCCGTGACTGTCAAGTCCATGGCTGGACTATGCTGGTTGCCTCTACATAAGACGGTTTACCGGTTAGCCGAAATATCTACATTTAATTCTTCGTTGCTAATAAATAAAGGTCACAAAAATATTATAGCTGGTCTATATTATATACTATTTACCTCATTTCTGCTAACAAGAAGAATTAGGCACGTAATTGAATCAGGCTCTGTTTCGTATGTTATTAGTTGATGAGATATAAGTATAAGAGTACACGTCTGTACTATTTCTCATTGATGTCACAGCCTTAATTAATTAATCAAAAGAAGAATTGTGACTGTTGTAGTTCCAAGGAAAAGAAAAATATATTTATTGTACCTACTTTTTTTTAAGGGGGAAAATCATCGAATGACTTCTCCCGGGTGAGGCAGGAGGGAGTGTTAGACTCTTACTGACTAAAAACTACCCCGTTCCTACTCCTGCACGTTGAGCTAGAGCCCTGGTAACCCGTTGAGTTCTTCGCATCTCCGTATTTAACGAACTTGAAAGCAAAGAAATGGAGCCTCTAACATTTAATCGGACTCTCTATAACTTTAAAATTATTTCTGTTTTTTACGGGATAAGCCGCAAGCCGGAAACGAGCAGACGGATCACCTGATGGTAAGCAATCGGCGTTGCCCAAGGACACCTGGAACACCAGAGGCGTTACAAGTGCATTACTGGCCTTTTGGCTTACATACTTTTTTGAAAAGAGTAACGATTGGAGTTTCTTTCTCGTTCTTCTCCATTCGAATCTACATTTTGGAATGAGCACCTAGCTTCACCTAGCTTCACTGACGGACTGATTGACAGATTATTATTTATTTTGTATCTGTTGACGTTTCAAAAGTGTACCTAATGGTTGGAAGGGGGAGGTAATTGGGACTCCGGTAACCTCACTTATGCGACGAAACACAACTCAAATTTTTTTAACCGAAAAAGATTGATTAATTCTTTGCTCCAGTCCTCTAGTTCAGGAGTTGCTCTCGCAGCCACTTGACCATGAAGGCAGTCCATGAATTTTTTTAGGTAATTTTAAATATAAATTCATTCAGTAATCTCATAACTTAAGTACTAGGTGTTATTAAAATAATTACGTCTCTACTTCAAAATTTCTTCAGTCGACTTTCAGCATATTGATTAGCTATTAACGACTTTAATAACTTCGATATTGAGTTTAGTTTAACATAATAACAGGATGTAATGTGATATCGTGTATAGGGCCTTCATATAGGGTCTGACATAAGTACCTATATGAAATGGGTATCTATTTACCCATATCCATTTTAATCTGATCGTAAATTGGGAAACTTCAAGTTGCGTACAACATAACCTATCATCAATCATTGTCCTCAAAATCCCGTGGACGTGGACTACTGGACTTTTTTTCAGGTCGACAACTCCTGTAAGACAGGATCTACAGTAGATACAACCATGAAAACACCGGAACTCTGAAGCCCGGCGCGTTTCAGGGACATGAACAACTGACTTTTTTTTAAAGGGGGAAAATCATTGAATGACAGCTCCCGCCTGGGTGAGGCGAGAGGGAGTGTCAGACTCTTACTGACTAAAAACCACCCCGTTCCTACTCCTGCACTTCGAGCCGGAGCCCCGGCAACCCGTTAAGTCTTCCGCGGCTCCGTAGCCTATACCCAACCTGGACCTTAACTAAGATCAAGAACAGATCAATACCAGGACCAAGTGAACGTTAAATACGGTATTTGACAACTAGTCAAATTCAATACTTTTTTCGAACTGTCAAAAACGACACAGTTTTCTATGAATTTTGTACGAGATTGTGTATTGTTACGTCACGTTATTTTAACGTCAAACAACGTATTGTTTTTTTAAAATTTGCTGGCAAAATACTAAAAATAAGTTGGTCATAAAATCAAATAATGAAAGTGTGATTATTTTTTAATATTTTATTGTATTGAATAGTTGAAATAATTTATTTTTGATTAAGGAAAGTACCCAAATAGCGTACCAATTACCTACAAAACTTTACTCTATACTACAATATAGGTACATAACATATACATAGGTACCTACAAGGAGAATTATAAGAAGCTGACGGCCGACCTTCAACATTGAAGAGGCACTATAAGAAGAAGAAGAAGAAGGTACCTACCTAATATAGCTACTGCTCGCGGCTTCGCCCGCGTTCCCGTATTATGAGTTCACTATTTGTATTATGAGTCCAATGTAATGGGGGTGAGTCTATTGCCATATACCGAGCACAATTCCAGACTCCGTGATATTACTGAGATGTTTTTTTTAAAACCCAGAAATACTTTGCCCGACCCGGGAATTGAACTCATGACCCCTTGCTCAGCAGTCGCGCTTACGACGACTCAACCAACGAGTCAGTCTAGTAAAACTAATCATTGTATTAAAACAGTAACCGCGTTAAAACAGTAAGATGTTTAATTAAAGGAATCAAGGAATGTACTGCTACCGTGCCCTTTTGAAACTTTGAATCCCAAAAGGGCTTATCGAAATTATGATGAGTATCTATTGAGAAGTTTAGACGGAATTTTGTTCTTAACGAAATGCCAGAGGTTGGTGCCTGTGTAATATTTATAAATACAAGGTAACATAGAAACAGAGCCACTGGCCGATTTTTTTTTTTCATTTTTTCGAAACCACTATAACTTTAAAACAAATATTGTTTTTTTAACAAAATGTTGGAGCGTTTAAAAAGCAACTACATTGGGTACTTTTCTTTATCACTACATAGTATAAAACAAAGTCGCTATCCGCCGCCCGTCTGTCTGTCCCTATGTATGCTTAGATCTTTAAAACTACGCAACAGATTTTGACGCGGTTTTTTTTTCAATAGATAGAGTGACTCTGAAGGAAGTTTTATATGTATCTATAATACATGCATGGCACCCGTGCGAAGCCTGGGCGGGTCGCTAGTCAAAAATAAACTGTTTCGACTGTTCAATACAATATACATAATATAAAAAAATTATCACCCTTTCATTAAATGATTTTATTGTTCAACTTAATTTTAGTATTTTTCCAGCATATATTAAGAAATAAGTATACTGCTTGACGGTAAAAAAACGTGACGTCATAATACACAATATCGAACAAAATTCATAGAAAACTGTCGTTTTTAACAGTTCGAAAAAAGTATTGAATTTGACTAGTTAATTGGCAAGTGCCCATTTGCTTTTATACTCCATATATTAGAGAATATTTACTACGCAATGGACAAGAATAAACGCTACGTTTTTGCTCATAAGTCTATATATTAAGTATACTTATATGAAAGAACCACCCCTTTTACACTAAAGTGGAAAATCTTCACGGAGCACCCTCGCCTGAGGACGCCTGCCTATTATCACAACGACATTTTCCACGTGACATTAATTAATTAAGTACCTTTTTTATTACCAAAAGCATCAGTATGTGATGATTAATATTGGGAATATTTATTGCAAAAAAAAATATGCTACAAAATGGATAAACTTGACCGTTAACATTCATAAAATCCACGATACATTTACGACTTCTAAACGAACAATAGAAATGAACATTAAAAACGTTTTTACTTACCACGGTAACTTAAACCAGAATCAAATTATTTAAGTGGAAATATTTAGGTATAATGTAAGTCAAGACTGTCAAAGAAAAACGTAACAAAATAACTCACCCTATGTATTTTCATAATTTATTATTCACCCCATATAATTTAGCTAACCACGAATACGATATGGGCCAATTAACCTTATAATATCCAAAACCAATATTACTTATTATATTCCATTAATAAGCTCCTATTATCAGTTTAGATAAATGTTAGATAATAATTATTATAATAGGTTTATTTGCACTGTATTGAATCCATATGGTTGCCATGGACACCCTTGCATTTAACTTTCATGGTCGCCTGATAACGTAACCTTGAATTAATAGATAACAGCGATCATAATTTTAATACTCTTGTACATATTGTAAAATTTTAATCAAAATATTTGAGAGATGTTTCGCAGTGAGATGAGACGCCGGCTTGGAGGAAAATTGTTGGAAAATCTAATAAATTTTGTAAATATCAATAGGTTTTCCTTTTACGGTTGATATTTAAAATTCATAACATATTTCTACAGAAAATATACATAATGGTTGCTTCCTACCAAAATTGATAGTTTGACTTTGCATAAAAATAAGAGAAAAATAGACTAAGTAATATAATATATAGTGTAATACTTACGCTCATTCTATCCAACGAGGGCAGCTGCCAATCATCCACTTGCCCCAAGTCCCAACACTATCATAAGACTGAGACAAATGACATTCGCACTGCACGACACATCCTACAACTGTACTCATCCAGACACTACCGAATATTGGCCGAAATCGTCCCAAATACCAGCCACAACACACCCACACCACACAATAACGACACACTATATAAAAATAACGAATTACTACGTATCTAAGGAAACACTGAAGGCCAAAGTCCAAAGGAATCTGTGCATAGTAGATAACATGATCTCTTCGGGTCAAAAACTGAAATTTTGAGGTTATCTAAGGGATCGGTGGATGTAGGACACATTCAGAACTGCCCCGAAGCTATAAGGTTGAAAATTGCATGCTGTTTTGTATATGTGTGCAGGGTTCAACGTCATGGAATTGCGTCTGTGTGTGCCGTTGGCGTGTGAGGAAGGGTATGTTTAGGGTGGAATGTCTTTGTGTGTGTGATTGAGTTCCTGTACACACCGGGTGGAGATTTCCGCGATAGATCTGAACGTACTACAAATTTGTATAAAAATAAGAGGCAATACTATAATATCAGTGACCAATAAAATTCAGACACAAGAGGTATCTTGTTAAAAGATTTTTTTATGCAATATTATGTAAAATATGTTGTCTAAAAAGAAAATCAGAAACTCTTGTTGTAACATTACTTTTTAAATAAATATTTATAATCAATGAATTTAGAAGTATGTTATTTAAGATATTATTATGTAAAGCACACTTATTATATATGTATAAAAGCTAAAAGAAATATCTTGGTCACAAAAATCCGTGGAAATCTAATACCCTGTGTTTCCTACAACTGAAAAGGATCGATCCACGCGCTTAAGGGTGAACCTTACTCAACAAACTCATCAGATTTTCTCTTCAATCGAGTTATTCTTTTCATCTTCTAATTCCATACAACTAAACGAGACAGAGCAACTCACAAAATGAGATTATTTTCACAATCGAGATCGATTACCTTAGTAGGTACTTCCCTCTTTTCATTTATTTGTACGCGTGAATTAAACACACACACACACACACACACACATTGAAATTGGCGCAACAATATTTTATCTGTCGAAAAAAGATTTTCAAGGAAAAATGTAACCCTTTCACCTAATAGATAGAATTGAAAATACATTGACAAGTTGTTCTTTGTAATTGTTAATTGAGGATAAGTGAAAAACGTGGGAGTGGGATGAGAATAGACGTTGATATGAGGATAGAAAGAGAGGTCGATAGTGGAAGTATTCTGATAATATTTTTTTGGATGTGTTGTTTTGTGTGGATAGTAATGGGTGCGTGAGTTATCTTCATTTGTACAATCCACCACGACCGCGACATTAAGTAACTATTAGTTTTTACAGATGAATCTTATTGTATTCGCAGTTGTCTATGTGGTGATATATGTTCTAGTCTTGTCTAAAAATGGAATAGGTATAGGTATCTATCTTTCCGTTCTAAATAATAAAAAACAATGTAAAGTTACATGTAAAAATGTGTAATCAATGATTGATTGGTCTATCATTATTTTGTACATTTTGTATTGATTAAAATTTAATTATTTTTTTATTATCAAAATATAAGTATCTAACATATTGAGTAGGTACGTTTGAGTGTTCAAATGTGTGTGGAATAAATATTACCTATTTAATTTACTTAAATTTTTATCTAGCTAACCCACACGAGCAACATAAAACACATCTATGCGCGAATTCCTTATCTGCTAATATGAAACGTCCAAACAACCAGTCGCAACTCAATTTATTTTTATCGAAATGCACTTGACATGCGCGGCTGACCTCCGAATCGATGCCTCTTTGTTATTGTTTTATCTCACTCTAACACACAAAACTACTTATACGTCTATCTCATACGTCAAGGTGACGATAACGTTATTTTCACCCAATGAAAAGCGACGCACGCTGTCTTAGTAGTTCGCATTTATTGAACTAGATGGCGTTAGCTGTTAATGTTTTAAATTCTGTGCAGGAATTTATGCTTGGCAAGATCAATTGATTTTCTGACCTTTGCATTGAAGTGGCTTTCGTAATAGAGCGATTTAATTATGAGTTGATACGTGTTGCAGTGTCCAGTAGAATAGTAATTATCTTATTACTGCATCATTAGTTTGCAGCAACATAAACATTATTGCTTTTGTAAACACGGCTGCTGTTAATAACGACTTGAGGAAGCCATTGCAGTAAAAGGTGGAATTAATGAGTAATTCTTCTGTATTTGATTATATTATGTTATTATCTTTTTGTCTTTCAAATATGTTTAGACATAGTTTAAACAGTTACTTTAAAGCATCTCTTATCTTTCTGATACTTTGACCAAAAGGAAATCAGGTTATTGGCAATTCTCTTAACCAACGAAAAATTTAGACAGAAGAGTGTGAGACAACCATGCTTCGGTACGAATGGGCCGGGTCGACCGGATTGATAATACCACGGCTTCTCAGAAAACGGACATGAAACGTTCGTTGAGGAATGAAATGAAATTACCTCCCAAAATCCCCGAATCCCTAACAATCCGTAAATTTCGAATCCCCAAAATGCCAGTAACGCACATGTATCGCCTCTGGTGTTCCTGGTGTCCGTGGGCAACGCCGATTGCTTACCATCAGGTGATAGGTCTCCTAATTTACGGGCTTATTAAAAAAAGTAAACTGACACGTCATCATCAGCATTATCATCATCAGCAACATATTTTGGTTTACATTCTCATAAGACTACTTAGGTCAATCCAATAGCTGTAACTGATGCTCGATCTTCAGCTATTAACTGACATAATGACATAATCCATACTTCGGCACGAACGGTCCGGTAACCCGAGTGATACCACGGCCTTAGAGAAAACCGAAGTGAAAAAACGCTTGCCCATTCCTCAAAAAGACTGGTACCGCATTTGCAGCATGTCTAGTGTTGCGAGTGCTCACCTGCCGAATTATTCCATAAAAGAACTGTCTCTAGCAGTGTAGTAAGTATCTATCTGAAGAAAGAAAGAAAAACCATGTATTTCACCACGACACACAACAAGAATTTAGGTACCTATGGTGTATCATGGTGCATCGTAGCGCAAAAGGCTGGAGCTCAGCTTAATACTGTGGACCGGGCACAGAGGCTCGAACCCACGGCGATGATTTTAAGCACCAGCCCGTAGTAGTACGTACTAGTTATACACCTACGGTAATGCTATTCGGAGCACAGCATGATATAAATAATAAAATTAATATAAAAGTAAAAACAAAATCAACAGAAACGATTACTGCAAAAAATCTAAATAAATAGAATAGATTGATTACTGCAAAAAGTCTAAATAAATAGATATAAAATAAATCCTAATATCACCTAATATCTACGTAATATATGGTAACAGAAATATAGTATTAAAAAAAGTGTATATATAAGGTGCTCATTACCTTTCTCCACGTCTGTATATCATCATCCTCTTATCAGATAATTCACGTCGCGTTACATAGCCGTGAGAACATCAATTGCGTAATGTACTTACCTCAATTATCTCGTTGCTACGAAGATTTTATCTGTGGCAATTTTAAGGAGCGGGCTTATAATATACACTGACGGATGGACGTACTAGCATATCTTAATACAGAGCTCTACTTTGGGGTTTTGCCACTATGTCATCCGTAGTGAAGTAACAGAATAAATAATCAAATCAGTTTGACAGAATAAGACCCTAGAGAAAAAGGTACAACGTACCTACCTACTAATTTTTCTTTTCAAATCTCTTCAACATTAAGTCCGCCATTGTATACAATTGCAAGAAGTGTAAATAAATAAATAAATAAATAAATAAAACATTTTAAATATTAACTACCACTATTAACAATTGCACAAGTATTAGACTTTTTTCTTTAAGGGGGGAAAATCATCGAATGACTGGTCCCGCCTGGGTGAGGCGGGAGGTAGTGTCAGACTCTTACTGACTAAAAACCATCCCTTTCCTTCTTCTGCACGTCGAGCCGGAGCCCCGGTAACCCGTAAGGTTCTCCGCGACACAACTATTAGACTTGGACCTCCTACAAAAGTTCGCCGTGATCCCCATGCGGTTGGAATTTGGAGATTACAGTTGAAAAAGGTTTATCAAACATACATAACATCACATCTTTTATCTCGGAAGGAGTAGGCAGAGGTGCACTTTACGGCACTTAATATAATGCCACTGTGCAATGTAACACTAACTTTACACTATTTATGTTATGAGTCGTATAAAATACGGGATGAGCGTATTTCCATATACCGAGCGCAATTCCCGACTCCGTGCTACTACTGAGATTTATTTAAATCTCAGTAATTCTTTGCCCAACCCGTTGCCCGGCACTTGCGACCACTCGGCCAACGAAGCAGACTATATATTTGACAGAGAGTTCATTATCTGTAAAACATGTAGTCCTTGGATAGGCTCTTAAGACACGGTTACCGAAAGGCTGCTGGTTTAATACTACATTATACAAAAATTTAAATGAATAGAAATGTTTTCTAGGACCTACCTGTGCAAGTGTGGGAGAGCCATCCTTCGGCACGAATGGGCCTGCTCGACCGATGTGATACCACGGTCTCACAGAACACCGACGTGAAACAATACTTGCGTTATGTTTCGTCGTGTGAGTGAGTGTTTCCGGAGGCCCAACTAACTCCCCCACTCCCTCTCTCTCTCTCCGTCTCTCCAATCCCCGAATCTCCGACAATCCTCAAATACCCAATTTCAAAAGGCCAGTAACTCACTTGCAACGCCTCTGGTGTTTCAGGTGTCCATGGGGGGCGCCGATTGCTTAGCATTAGGTAATCCGTAAGCCTGTTTACCGGCTTATTCTATAAAAAAACCTGGTTCTTGTAAAACCACACAACGCGAAACATCATATCTATCGTAGTTAAAATACTTCCCCAGAATAATTGGTAATTTCGAATTTCTTAAAGTTCCATCTTCGTTTTCAATGTCACACATAAAATTCTTCTACAGCTCTGTAGCAACAGCAATGGGAGAACCTAACATAATCGACTTGACGACACAATCAAATAACTTTGAACGGTTGAACGAAAAATAAAACGAAATGTGTTGAGATATAAATTCTGAAACGTATCGAAATTGGATTATAACCAATAAAGTGGGAGATGGCATCGGTGTAGTGCACTTTTATCGACTTCAATAAAATATTATAGCTCCTACATCGAAGAAGTTCGAACTCAGTTTATATGTTTAAGAAAACTTGAGGCTAACTCTGTTGAAAACATACTGTAGCAGTAT